CAATTTACAAGTATGTGTGTATAATTTATTACCCACACACGTATATATATATATATATATATATATATCATTTTTTTTAACAAAAAAAAAAGTGTCTCTCTCTCTCTATCTATACTGATTTTGGAATTAAAAACTCACACATTTCTTTGTGAGATACACCCCTTAAAAAGAACCTCAGAAAATCATTTTCCCCACATGGCATATGAGTGACTCAATCCAACTGCTCTGATTTCTCGTAATCACATCGTGTCTCAATAATTGACGTAGAGTTTGGAAGCATTGTTTTTTGAGTGAAGTGCTTACAAACCCTCATTCACTCTGACACTGAGGGTTTCTATGAGGCTTACAAAGCGAAAGAGGGGCACTGGTGCAGGAAACGTAAATCAGTCACGATTACCTTCAAAGCTGCACCCGCACTGCCATTTCACTGATTGAATAAGGTCAATAAACGCTGGCTGTCTGTCAAGTGTCTGTTGTTGACTACGCTCTCTCCCAAGCCTCCCAATGCTGAAGCGTAAATTAGGTTTAATTGCGTAGCTTAAATGTGAGGGCCTCATTTTGGCCAGAAGCGGCTCTCTGGGACTCAGTGCTGGTTCAAAAGAGCAGTCAACATGCTCGGTTACGTATGTGGGAAACGGGACGTACTAGCATTCTCTGTACACAAGGTCAGTACAGTGTTATATAAAGTGACATCCTCTTATCATGCAACTCTTTCCTTCATTCACAAAAAAATTCAAAGAAGATAAAAGGGAAAAAGAAATCAACAGATGGTCAATTAAGAGATAGTGAGTCTACAATCCCCCTTCGAAGCAGTGGGACCCAATATGTTAGATAATATATAATTTTTCATTGTATTAATTCCTAATAAACCTCAATTTTTACATTTGAGTGATCCAATAATATGAAATATTAAAGCAAATAAAATATCACAACCATGGTCAAATATTTATACCAAGAGTGGGGAAAGGCCTGACACCCATGTCTTTAAATGTAGTTTTAATACCTGCTAATCAGCTTTTATGTTTAAATACACCCCTTGCTCCTGTCTATTCTCTTAATGTCATGTGAGCGTGTGTGTGTGCTTTATAGACTGGGCTTCCCGGTGCTGACAGCTGGCTCTGTGATTAGACTATGCACTGATAATGGAGAGGATCAAAGCCCTTTAAGAGGGTTCCTGGGGGGTTAGGAGGGGGACGAGGAGGGGCTTCTCTTTGGTCACTGGGGGCAATGGGGTAAGCCAGGACACTAGGTAAGATAGGTCACTGGGAAATAGCCAGGTATGATTGGACCAATCATTTTACCCATTAAAATCAACATTAAATCAAAACGGACCCCGTTTACTGTTAATCCATGTTCCTGGTCATACTGTTAATGAATTCATCTTAATAAATAAACAAAAAATTAAGGATGCACCACATTGTTAATTATTTGTCATAATTATGATGTAAAGTGTAAATGGACACAGTCGTAATGGACATCACATTTTTATAACTGACTTTTTATCTAATAATTCACTTTTGTCCTCTTATGACTTAGTAACTGATCATTTCTACTAAATACATATTTATGACTTTTAATGTCCGATTTTTGATAGTTTTGTCTATCTCATAATTTTGTCATAATTATGACTTTTTAAATCTCATCATGACAATTTCGACTCATGTCATACTCATGACTTTTAATGTCATCATTTTAATTTAACAAATGCATGGTCCTTGTCGTACTGTTAATGAATGAATTATTATAAAAAGAAAAAATACGGATGCACCATATTGATTGTTGTCAGTACATATTAAATATATATTGGCTGATATTGGATGGTTTTAATTGTTACATTTGAATCCATAATAAGTGGTCATTGTTAGTTCAGGTCCATTAAATAACATTAACATATACAGTTTAAAAAATATATATATTAGTAATGTTGAAATTAATATTAACACACAATTATTATTTAGAATTATTTTTCACAGTTAGCTCATGCTAAAGGAATGTGTTCAAATGGAACCTTATTGTAAAGTGTTTTTAATTTTGATATTAACCATTCATTGATTATTAGCCATAACATCAAACGATTTATGTGCTTATTGCATTGGCCAGAATTGTAATATTGGTGTATCCCTAAAAAATGTTTGTCTGTGCCATCTTAAATGAAAATCAAACAACTTGCTCTTCCTCTCCAATAATTTTCCATTTCCGCTGACATCGGAAATGTCGCATTACAGAAGTACAATGGGTTGCAATACTTTGACTGGAAGAATGTTATAGCCAGAAGACAAAAATGCATATATTTTTTTATTGATATTGTAATTTCTTTCAACCAAACTTCCAATATATCATAGCTAAAAAAGGAAACATGTTATGTGCCACTTCATTACGCAGTAACGAATGCCTCCAGTAAACATTAGTGCTGCTATTCCATTGTAACATGGCTTCGAATGCATGTGTAAGCACTAGTACTAGAGGCTGCCGTGCATATGCAGAGCGCTTAGTGGTTGAAGCAAAGCGAGGATTAGCGAGAAGTGTAGAGGCTGGAGTCTGTGACACAGGTCACACACGCACCATCTGTCCCACAAACACCCAGATTACAGTAGACATCCACGGACTTCCTCACGCTCTGACATGCCTTACATGAGACGCATACGTGCCCTCACATAGCTAGACAACTGATGACGAAAGGGATGTTTCTTCATATGTTTGCCCACCCTAAACTTTCCCGTTTAAGCTTCATCCAGTGAGTGTGTAAGGAGACTAAAGAGGGTAAATGTGGCTGCTTGTGATATGGAGAGGAGGTTCGTACCACTGCCATCCGAAACGCCAGTTAAAGCTCCTACTGCAGCCGCCGTTTCTCCTGCTAACACAATTTGTCCTCCTCCCTGAAGAGTCGCTTCTGCTAACGTCGCCACTGCGTGAGCTGCTGCTTCACTGCAACACACACACACACATATATATATAAAATATAGAAATAATCGCACAATAACCCTGCTTTCATAAAGGTTTTTTCCATAATGCTTTATACAGGATTTAAGCAGGATTTGAAGTGAACTGAAGTGGACTGGTGTGTACTGCCCCCTAGTGTAGGAAGTCAATCAAAAGGCACCATAAAATAATATAAACACTCTCCCATACAAGTCCATTTCTGTCACTTAAGGAAAACATCATGCTTTAGTACAAAGTCATCATCATTTAAACTTTCTAAATTATAATTAAGAGAGAAAAATCTAAAATTATGACCAAATGGAAATTGCCATGAATAGCCAAAATTAGGGCTGGGTATCGATTGAGATGTCCCAATTCGATTCGATTCTCGATTTTTTTTATTACATTCAGTGAATATAGTTTTAATACAAATGCTATTGATATTTCTAAAAAATGAACAGTAAACATCAGCTTACAAATGGTGAATTAATAAAAAGAAATTAAGCCACATGCCTGTATTTTAAACCTATACTTTTTTTTGTATGGGTCCTTTTTTAAACAATAATAGGGCCCTATAAAATGTTTACTGTTAAAATTAAAAAGAAAAATAAAGATTTATTAATATTTATTAGCAGTAGTAGCATTGAGTCTTAAGACTGCTAAATAGTAATATATTCTGACAGTAGGACGTTAAACTAAACTTTTATTCTGACGGGTTGCCGTGAAGAACTTGCAGCTGCTGTGTATGTGATATGAAAAGATCGATTTGCGGCTTTTGAGAATCGATATCGTATCGACGTCATTTTAAAAAACGATTAATCGAAAAATCCTAGCCAAATTGACAAGCATGTCATAATTTAGACTTTCTCATTTGTAATTATGAAATGTAAAGTTGAAATTGACATACTAAGTCATAATTGACATAAAAAGCTGAAATTGACGTCATCATTTTGTCAAAGTTTGTCATTATTTCAACATTTTGAGTCGTAATTATGAGATAAAAGTTGAAATGAGAAAATGTCAAAACTGACATGAAAAGATGAAATTGACCAGTCATAATTATGACACTGTAAAAAAAAACAACAAAAAAATGTCAAGATAAAATGTCTAAATTATAAGTTTTTTTTTTGAAATTTCTGTCATAATTTTGAATTATGTCAGTAAAACTTAGTACCTGATCATTTCGAATAAATGCACACTTTTGACTTTGAACATCAATTTTAATCGTTACTTTGACCTCATAATTTTGTCTTATCTCAATGATTTTTAAACACTCACTACGACTTAGCATCTTACAAATTTGAATTATGTTATACTTATGACTTTTAATGTCATAATTTTAATTTAACAAAGTACTTTTTTTTCGCATGATGTAAATGAGTTTCTATACCAAACAGAGTTTAAAGACAGTCTATTATGACTTTCTTTGAGATAATGATAAAAATAAAGCTATTTACACTGCTAGTAGAGGAAGAGACTATGCTCAGCAGACCAATGGTAGATTTACTGCTTTAATGAAGGCCGCTGAGCAGAAAACAATGCCTCCTCAGCCTAATTGTTGTGGGAATGGAGTATGAACCTATTGTTCCTGCTGTGCTGTATTTCTGGGCTGCTGCTGCTGCTACCTGCTTGTGATAAACAGGAGAACAGGCTCAGGTAACAAGACCCTGGGGACATAAACCTGCACCTAGGTGCTGCTGCGGTTTAGAATTACCTTTCTCTTTCTCTGAGCCCAACTTCACCACTACTAACCATGAGTACCTGTTGAGTGCCATAGTAACAGTTGCCCCTGGCTGCATCTCTTGCGAAGCAGCTACCGCAGCTTCGGCTAAGGAGGCCACAGCCTGCGTGGCTTCCGATGGCTGCGTGGTCTGGATGGTCATCTCGCCTCCCTGTAGTGTGGCCCAATTCTGTTCCACCTTAGAGACAGACAGAAAATAATAGGTGTGAAGAAAGAGATATATCCTAAAAGCACAGTACGTGTGTAAGGACAGGACAGAACAAGCAGGAGATGCAAACTCATGGAATATTCAGATATGAAGGTGTGTGTGTTGACGTTACCTCTCCATCTGTCACTGTGGAGTAATTCACCTGGGCCACCGTCATCGTGCCTGGCAATTCTGACGCATCGGCCAGCGTTGCTACCGTGGCTCCAGTTCCAACCTGTGGATTATATGTTAGAATACTGTTATAATACTATTTAAATACTGTAGTGTGACCATTAGTGATTTTACATTTTTTTCCAATTATATATATATATATATATATATATATAGTTTTATTTATTTTTCTAAATTATATAATTATATTAGAAGCATAACAAAAATGAACATTTCAGGTTTGGGGTTGGTAAGAATTTTTTTTTTGTGTTTTTAAAGAAGTCTCTTATGCTCAAAGGATTGTTTGTACTGTAAAGCTCAAAAAGACAGTAAAATAGTAAAATTGTCAAATAGTTTTACAATTATTTTATTATTACAATATATTATAACCTTTCTATATTCATTTATTTTATTTATATGCAATTTATTTCTGTGATGGCAAAGCTGAATTTTCAGCATCCATTACTCTAGTCTTCAGTGTCACACGATGCTTCAGAAATCACTGTAATATGCTGACTTGCTGCTCAAAAAACATGTATTATTATTATCAATATTGAAAACAGTTGTGCAGCATAATACTTTTGTGGAAACCATGATATATTTTTTTCAGGATTGTTTGAGGTATAAAAAGTTCAAAAGAACAAAATTTATTTAAACAGATTTTTTGTAACATTGTAAAAGTCTTAACTTTTGATCATTAATGAATTTTTTTTTCTTTCTTTCAAAAAACAAAACAAAAACAATCCCAACTGTAAATAGTGAATCAAATGATACAAGTTACATGTATTAAAGTAAATATATTGTCATGTTGACCTTAATATGACTTATTAGCTATTTTTCAATATTTTGGTCTCCCCCTTATCTAAATGAAGTCCTCCAGTGGAGCTAGTTTATATCATAGTGAAAAACAACCATGCAGTTGCTCCCACAGCTGGGACCTGAGCTCACCTGTATGAGTGAGACGGTTCCATCAGGATTACTGATCGTCTGCACTACGGTCTGTGACGGCACCAGGTGTGCAATGCTGTGAGTGGTTGTTGTGGCAACTTGTTGTGTGGTGATCTGGTCCTCAAAGGCGTAGAGCAGGTCCTCTCTCCCATGCTGCTTATAGCAGTTTTTAACGATAGTCCTCAGGGCTTGCGTCCATGACACCTGTTTCCAACAGAAGTAAGCCTTCGATAGGTCAAGATGATGCAAGCTTTAGCTCATGTTTCAATTCAGATGTCATTTTGAGGAAAGCTGACAAAACTATGGTGTGGCTGATTCAATAACTTGTTTGCGTCATCACTCTAGACATTTTGCGTACAATAAAATGTTTTAGTGTAATGTTTACTGTAATATCAGTGCATATAAAATAAAATTTGAATATTTTAAACCAAACTTCTAAAAATAAAAGTAAATATATAAATATATATAATCTTTCAAAGCCCAGTCGCAATATGAGCACCCAACACTACCCTCTGTTTCTGCTCCTCTGTTCGGACGTCACTGCGTACGTTGGCCCAGGGAATGTCCTCTGGCCACCAGATGGGCTTGCAGCTCTCTTTCCCCCAGCCAGGCTTCCCACGGCCTGTGGAATACTTTAGCATTTCTGGAATGAACGCTCGGAGTTGGGCCTGCAAAGCAACAAAGGGCGCACAATCACTGTGGGAGTTTTAATACTGGGAGTGGCAGAGCGAAGCATGGCCTCTGGAAAAATAAAATCTGTGTGAAAGAGTTTGGAAACAGCAAGCCATTGATTTTCCTCTTCCTTCAGCAGCTGAGTGCAGACAGTCTGTCCACACATATTGCTTGTGAAAAGCTAAAAGTAGACTATTAGGTTTCTATTTAAAGACTAATCTATGGGTAAGGCTCCAGTGCACACTGACTGCAGGAGATTGAGCGGATGGAACATACACCACTGAACTACAGATTATGTAGAGAGAGGGAGAGGGTCGGTACACTACCATTCAAAAGTCTGAGATTAGCAAGACTTTTTTTTTGTTGAAAGAAATGAATACTTTATTTAGCAAAGATGCATTAAAATTGAGCAAAAGCGACTGTAAAGACATTTAAAAATGTTACAAAATATTTTCATTAAAATAATGCAGTTCTTTTTAACTTTCTATTTATAAAAGAATCCTAAAAAAGAAATGGTTTCAACATTGAAAATAAGAAATATTTCTTGAGCACCAAATCAGAATAATTTCTGAAGGATCATGTGACACTGAAGATTCAGCTTTGCCATCACAGAAATAAACTAAATTTGAAAATATATTAGAACAGAAAACTGTTATTTCAAACCATAATAAAAGTTCACAGTATTGCTGTTTTTACTGTATTTTTGAATAAATAAATGTAGACATGCTTAACATTTCAAAAACATTACAAAACCAACCCCAATCTTTTGAACAGTACTTTAAAATTCCTCCTGGTTCTAGATTGTACTAATCTCAACGATGTCTGAAACTTGTATGGCAAGCACTTCCTGTGTCTATTTGCCTCCTTATGATGAATGGCTTATTGTATTCCTTTTGGATAAAAGCGTCTGCAAAATGAATAAATGTAAAAAAAAAAAAAAAAAGGTCAAAAACAAGTCAATAATCACAAATCTGCTAATAAATGCAAAAAATAAAAAAACAACTGAAATTCTTTACAAGGATGCCAACTTGCTTATGTAAGTTAATGCCGTAAAAGTCATACCCTTAAAAAAACAGTGCTAGTGAGGAATTGTTAAGGTATTAACTTGACAATAAAGGAGCTTATTAAGTCTATTGACTTTTTTTTAAATCCACACTGTGTAGTATGGGGCAATCCATTAGCCCAGTGACAGCTCCATCCTGAGGGTGAAGCTGGCGTGTATCCCAGCGCCCTCAGTGCCCTTGGTAATTCCATAGGCAGGCCAGGGATTGTACTGCACAGCGCTCTTGTAGCAACGTCTGTTCACCTCGACATCACAGGCTAAATTTGGCTTGGGAGGAATAAATCAGTTCCCAAAAGAGCTTCTCCCTCCCGCTCTCTCACTGTCACAAACACACTTGCTGTAAGCCTGCCATTGGACGGTGACAGACGACAACATGGTGAAGAGCTAGTGAAGAAGGATTTCAGGCAAAGAGCTAAAAATGTAGTTCTGATAGAACTAATTGATTCACAATTAATTCAACAAAAAAAACACTACATATTTTTTTGACGAATTAACTTGATTCTTCCAGTCATGATTGTTGGATAATTTAAAAACAAAATCTTTTTCAACACTGTACTGATAAAGATCAAATTCAAGCATAACTAGAAATTAAATAGTTCAAATAAAATATATGCTTCATAATATATTTTAAATAAAATGTAAAATATTATTTAATAATAATAATAAAAGCCGATCAAAAAACACATTGTATGAAAATAAATCATGATTAATCATTCAAATTAACAAATTTAAGCATAACTAGAAAAAAGTATATAAAGTTTTATATATATATTAAATATTGTTAAATAACTGTTTATAAATTTGTAGAAATATAGTAACAGTATATATATAATGACCAATGTGCTCTCTCTCTGTATGTATATGTATGTATATATATATATATATATATATATATATGAATCAATAATTCCAGAATTATTAATATTATTTTTTTAATTGGATTTACAAAAAAGTTACAAAACTTTGATCAATGTGCATCATAGATAGATAGATAGATAGATAGATAGATAGATAAACTATATATATATAGTATACATACTTATAAAATAAATCCATAATAAAATACATGCTTAATACGTTTTGAATATAATAAAAAAATTTATTGCATATAAAAGCCAAAAATATATCATGACGACTGCTTAAACCTAAATATCTGAACATAAATACGGTTGTTAAGTACACTGTTTAAAATCATGTAACAGATTGTCCACAGGGGCATCATGAGTGGTATGTTCTTCCTTGTGTTTGTGCAGATGGTCTAATTACGTGGCGAAGGAATTAAGAGGAATCTCACGCCCCAAACACACTGATCAGCCGCCCATTCCCTCCCCCAGCTCTGCTTTTAATCCACTTGGGAGCCAATCAGAAACCTCTGTGCTCGGCCACGATGTGCTGGATAATTACTCGCGCGTACAAGCCTCACCTGATGATCCCCGCACAGACCTGCCTCCAACTGCCACAAACCAAGCAAGGTGTCTGAGGTCTGTCCTGAGGGACACTAGCTATCAGCAGTCCGCCCCTAAACAGCATGCGGGGTAATGAGTAAGGGCGCTGGTAAATGTAGTGGTTATGTGGTCTTATATCAGGCCAAAAGGCTTCAAGTAACCTGTGCTAAAGCCCTGTAGTGGATGAAGTGAGACTTATTCTCTCACTTTAACTGCTGCCCCACGAGCCTAGAAAATGTCAAATTTGCATGTCAAAGCAGAAAACTCAATAACTTGCATTCCTGGCTCATAGTGCCACCTGCTGCCCACCTGTGTCATCTTGTCCACAGACACTGGTATGCCGTCAATAGTCAGTGGAGGCAGTTCAGAGCTGAGTTCTCCACCACCAGGGGGCGCGTGTTCAGCCAGAGCGTTTTCCAAATCCTCCAGAATCATGCTCTTGTATTTTCTCACCTGACCACAAGACATGCCAAAACAGGGATGAAATCTGAAACAACCAGTGCAAATGATATGAAGGCAAAAGGCACAATAAATATACTCACCACATTCTCTAACGGTGCCGCTCCAAATACTCTAAACACAGGGTTGGGTTTAGAGGGAGAGATGCACAACACAATAGCCTGCTGGCCAACTCGTGTTGTGTACTCGTCCAGAGTTGCTCTCAGCTTCCTGCAGACATAGTAAGAGACAGGGTTGTCATTGTGAACTATTAAATACATTTAATTGGAATTGGAATTTAATTGGAAAAACAATTTACATTTAAAAAAAACCCTTTAATTTTCTCTTTCTTTCTTTAGATTTTTTTTCCTTGGCAACTAACTGAAAGAAGTACTACAATTACTAAAACAAATAGAAAATAGCTCTAACATTTTTTTTTTAAATATGAAAATAAACAAAAGCAGATTACTAAAATTAAAAATCTGAACTAAAACTGAACCAAAATTAAACTACAAATTGAAAATATAATGAAGGCTAATTCAAAATATGAATAAATATACACTATACAGTATATAAAAAATAAAAGCACTGAAAGAACATATTATTTCTAGTATATATATATATATATATATATATATATATATATAGAGAGAGAGTATATAGTAATAAAATATTTAACATTTTATTTTAATATTTAAATATAATAATTTAAAGTTGAGGTACTGAAATTACTTGACCTTAAATAAAAAAAGATATATTTTAAAATAAGAAATAAAATGAGAAAAACACATAAAATTACTAAAAGAACAAACTAAAATTAAAAGGAAAACTAAAAATATAAAAATAAAAACCAATTCAAATATTAATACTATAATAGTGTATTAATAACACTAAAATAAACAACACTGGTAACAGTACATTTTTAATCTATCTATCTATAAAGTTATTTTACTTTATGTTGTAAAACCACTCATATTCAATTACAATACAATGAACAATATTGAAAATACAGTTCACCTAAGTAAGCGAGTCTGTTGTCTTTTACGGATTGAAGGGTTTGATTCAAAGATGTGCGGTCGTTTCCGTTTCTTCCCTGTTGCCACAGCTGCGGCTGCTGCCATGCCAACAGGCCCTGAAAAACAATGAGGAATAAAATCAATTGTTTTTAGACATTCTATATCATTCAGGATATGTATTGTATCTGTTTGTGTATTCCAAGGGAATTGAACCCATGAGCTTTACAACTGCTCTATCTTGAGCAATAAAGCGGCTGACAATTTATGGCTTATGTGCGCCATCTAGTGGTTTGCCTGATAACTACAAGTCAGAATACAACAATGTGCAAACACCTACCTGCAGCAGCCAGATGTGCGGTGACCTCATCTGTTCCAGTTGAGTTAAGTATATCAGAGTCATCGTAAACGTCATCATCGGGCGAGGATGGCGAATCCTCATCAGCGCTCAGCATGCCATGCTCTGTGTACGTGGCCACGTGCACCTGCCCGACCTGCTGAGTGACGGCATGGGCCTCGATAGTGGTCATGTGATCCGTCTGATGCATCGTGTGGTCTTCCATCACCCGATACAGTTTCTCTCAAACACACTGAGCCACACACAAACAATACATTAGCACAGATTCCTCAAGCAAACTGCATCATTCAGATTCATAGATGAGGTGAGTGTCATGCACCTGTTATTTTGAGGGCGAAGAAGTGCTCAAATACATGTATTTTCATTTGCATATGCATTTAAAACGTATTAAAAAATATGAGGAAGCACATCATATGATATTGTCTTATAATGACTACCAAATCACCTTTTACTAGTAGTACATATGATGCATCGGCATAACAAGACACTCTATTAATACAGTCTTGGCAGATGTGCTTTTATATAGAAACAGCATGACAAAACATTTAATTTGCCACTGGATGTGATCTCAATGTCAAAAAGTGGCATTAAATAAGCCAAAAATGTTTCAGCAGCAGCTATTTACACTGTGTAAATGTATATGCCATTTACCCTAAGTTTATATTTAGTGTGTAGGGAAAAAGGGCCTGTTCCTTTCTATTCACATCTAATAATCACTTTCATAAAGCATTGCATAATTTGCATCTATTATTGTTACTTTAAACATCACTCCACTAGAGGGCACTAATCATCACCTATAATCAACAATCTGTTCTTAAGATTATAATATTTATTTTACATTATTAATTTTTTGACGAGGTTTGACTGGAAAGTCTAAGTCTAACTGCTTTCGGTATTTATCCAAAATAATATGGGTATAATCAAAATCGATAACAGCATATACATTTGCTATACATAATATTTTGTACAGCACTATTAATTTTCAGCAAGAATTTAAAGCTGTATCAATGGCAAACTAAACGACACAGATCGAAAACCTTTTTAAGTTATGTTTTTGTTTTATTGAATTACATGACACTGTAATTACATGTCTCTGACAGCAAGCAGTGTGGATTACATTTACTAAACCTTTTGGATATTTTAAAAATATGAAACAAAAATAAAAACGTATGTGTGTGAATAACGTAGGATGACGTGGGTGCTATGATTAATCCACACAGATATTAATAAACCAGCTCGCGCAGCTACAGTATCATTCTCTCAATTCAACGGCCTGACAGTCTGAGGCTCTGGAAGGAAAACGCTAACGTTACATTTGATTTGACCAAGTCACCAAAAACGTTCACAAACACGAAAAGACATTTCAACAACCACAGATAGTCATTAATAAAGGTAGGTTTGAATCTCCGAAATAACTACATCGATATAGACTAGTTAAGTCCAGCATCAATAACAAACACATAAATGGCGGTTATTTTCAAACTGAATAATACGTGTAAAGAGAGCAGGCAGTTTGTTAGAGAAATATTGAACACTAACGCAATTCAAACACATTCAGTTAAAGTAAACATTCAGTCAAACTACAAAACATCTGAAATAATCTTTTAGATCAAATTTAGCCGGGCACCGCTGTCGACTCCGTATAAAGCGATATAAAAAGTCGAGTGATCGATAACACTGCAGCGCTAATATGATATTAAACACGCATTCAAAATTGACCAAGAATCTAAACACAAGCCATCAAGTCTTGAAATCCCATTTATCATCTGGACAAAACAGTAGCGATTAAATTGCACATCTAAATTCGGTAACGTTAGGCCAAAGGCCTGCGACAGCGCCATGATTCTTTTTGCCCCGATTTGAGCGGGGTAAATAATAATTGCCATCCTGTCAAACGCGCTCGATATCACCCCGAGTTCAGTGTCGCATCGTCACGATCTGCGTCTGAGTGTGTGAAAGGCAAACGCTACCGGGTTGTTTGGTGCGGCTGCGCCGCGGCTGAAATGGCTGGAGATTGCGCGGTAGGGCACTAACCTCAGAGCGGCTGCGCTACTTCGGGCCTGCGCTGTGCGGCGGAGCTGCGATCACCAGCTGCAATGGAGGACAAAGAACGAGCGGCAGAACGCGCGCGTCCTGGCCTCGGCGCGGTGCGCGCGGAACAAACCCCGCCCCTCCTCACAATCGACACATCGAAGCTTGGCCGGTTGCATAAACTGTTTAGACTAGTCTTAAAAAAGTAGTCATCAAAAGATTCAAGACTGGTCATCATTTTTTTAATTCAGTTATGAAAAGGTGGACTGGTCTTATTTATATTGGAAACGTAAGACTGATTACCCCTTGGCAACTGCTAGTTGGTCAAACTAGTTCTTAGTTGTTTTTGTTCAGCTGCTTACACACATTTTCAAAACGTTGCCTCTTTTTTTTTTTCTCAAAACTTTACACACACATCCAAGAATTGCACACACAAAATGCAGAATGCCTCACATCTCTTGTAAAATGAAGCACTGCATTCAAAATATCACAAGCACATCAAACATTTGCAAACACCTTTGCCATAATATTAATTCCTGTTAGATTTTTGTGTTACATAGAGAATTGTGTGTTGTGTTTTGCAAAAAGTGTTTTATGAAATTGAAAGCGGAGAATTTTTAGGGTATGGTTTTGCAGATTTGGTGTGTGGTTCTGGTGTTTGAGATTCAGGTTTCAGAAATTGTGTGACAAGTAAAGATTTTGTGTGTAAGCAGTTGGAAAAAAAACTGTAAGACAGTCTTAACATGGCTAAGTTAATGCAACTGGCCCCTGAACTACACGATGCTCCAGAGAAAGATTGAGGGAAGGACTTTGGGAAACAGGCATTTCTATGAGTCTGACATATTTATTTTTTTGTTAATATGAATATCTTTTAAATGCACAGTTGTTTGAAACTCTGGTGCAAGAGGGAGTAGTAAAATTATGAAGAAATAAATTGTTTTTAATTGACTTCATAAATTATTCATTTTTAATAATTTGATATTTATATATATTTTAAATATTTTTGTATTATTTGTTATTATAATAGAATGTCTGATTCCTATATTTATTGTCTGATTCCTATATTATTACTATTATTATTAAAGTTTGTGTGTGTGTGTGTGTGTGTTTGAGTGTATTTGTGACTGCATTGATTTCAGATGTGTTATCTGTCATTCACATTTAATGTAAATTAAATGAATGCAAAATAAGTTACACAGTTGTTTATTAAATATAGTGCAAAATGTGACACAGGACCACAAAACCAGTCATAAGGGTAAATTTTTGTGAATAAATAAGCTTTCCCTTGATGTATGATTTGTTAGGATAGGACAACATTTGGCTGAGATACAACTATTTGAAAACTATTTGAAAAAATTAATGGAACATGATCTTTACTTAATATGCTAATGATTTTTGGCATAAAAGAAAAATCGATAATTTTGAACCATGTATTGTTGGCTATTGCTACAAATATACCCGTGCTACTTATGACTGGTTTTGTGGACCAGGTTCACATATGTTTATTATTTATTGCATTTTTATTATATGTTTTATGTATTATATTATATTATTGTATTTATTTTATTTTTATCATTTCAGTCTATTTTATTGTTAATACTCATCTTGCTATAATAAAATGTTTTCTATTATGTTGTCAGAATAATTAATAAATGCTGGATGGCATGATGGTGCAACAGAGAATAATAAACTAATAAAGAAATAAATGTTTTTAAATTAATTTATTCAATTTTTTATTTTGAATAATTTAGTAATTATATATTATTTATATGGCAGGATGATGCAACAGATAATAATGCAATAACAAAGATATAAACCTATTTAAATACATTTTTTACATTCATATTACATAAATCTATTTATTTTGAATAATTTAGTATTTATATATTTATTTTAAATATATTTTATTGTTGTTATTTTAATAAAATGTCTGAAATAATATTGTCCAAAATATATACTTTTATGTTGGTATTTGTAATTATTGTTTTCAGATGTGTTATCTGTCCTTATATTCCTTGATTTGAATGAGAATGGATCATTCAAATTTAACTGCAAATTAAACTAGTGTGAAATAAGATACAATGTTAATTAATTATGGTGCAAAATATGTTTATTATTTATTGAATCTCGTTTTATTGAGTATACAGCATTGCATTTATTTTATTTTGGTTATTTAAATCTATTTTATATTTTTATTTAATCTATTTTTACCTTGTTTTGATAAAATGTATTGTTATGTTGTCATAATTATTCAAAGATGCCAGATGGCAGGAAGGCAAATAATTTTTCCCCTGTACACTTACATGGCTTTTTATCTATTCTTATGCATATCCTTATCCTTCCTGGTTTTGGACGAGACGTTCATATTTAACTGTAATTCAAAATAAAAAAGAATGCAAAATAAAAGTCCCTGAAAAAAACAAAAACATGCAGACACCTGTTTCGCATTAAACCTTGATGATTCTTGATCATTGCGGGACGTGTATGAATGAACGGAAAAGACGCGATTGGATGTCCATACTTCGTTTTATCTATAAAAATCTTGAATTTGGTGAGTATTTTTGGTTTTCGTTTCGTTAAAGAAAAGATAACCTATGTTTTTGCAGAAAATATGTCTAAAACCATGACATAGGTCTCATAAAGCCAGCGTGAACTGCTTATCCATTTAGGCCTGTTAGTAAAAAGAGTTAATGTGCGTTGTTAAGTTTAAGAACATCCATAAGAGGGCAATATAGTATCACAAATGCGTCCTTTTGATTTATGTGTAACACTAGATGGCAGAAAATGATCATTTTTGGGTTGCTGGATGAAGACTGATGACAACAGTGTGTGTTTGACTGAATGTCAGATTTCACCAAGACAGAGCAAACCAGCGTTTGTGACTTTGTAGTTTATTTAATTTCGTTTTTGTCTGCATCTAATCCAGTTAATGCAGGCTACTGTATTAAAAATGCAGTTTAATCACTGGGGAAATTGTATAGCTAATGGATATAATTTCATTCCATTAGCTTGGCATCTTTTGTTATTGGCAGAGGACCTGCAGTCCACTTTAGTTTATTGCATAAAGCTTAGTTTAAGGTTCTTTAGGCCAGCCTATTCTTAAGCATTGTGAAAGAGTGACTGCAGGCCCATGAGGTAGTACACAATGCAAATTCTCAGGTGATAAAGAGTTGGTCTTTAGAGGGTTCACGATCTGCGATCTATCTCCACTGTGCTGCCCTGCTGGGGAGAACCGATAAGGTTTTGGAGGAGTTCAATAATTCTCTTAATTGATTGTCTGGAAGTGAAGATAATTCATGGTAATTATCAGGCCAGTGAGGAGCTCATGAGTTGAAGCCACTGAGGGAGGAATAATGGACGCTTCACTCACTTACATGGCAAAGACAGACCGAGAGACCTGTCTCCGATCTAAACAAACTATGTTAGTGCAGTGAACTGTGAGGGGAAAAACAAATTGTGCTTTGCTTATCATACATCAGACCAAGATAATACACTCGCGAATAAAGACAAAACCACCAGAGTGCACTATGGGACCATTTAATTAGCTTTTATTAAGATTATTTGATTTAAAGCTGAAGCATGTAATTTCTGTGTGACTAATGAAAAAATAAAACCACTTTCCTGTGCATGACGTCAGTTTGTAGGGCCTGGAAGGCTAGTTCTTTGTTGGTTCCCTTTGGAATGTCTAATGATTTTTTAAAAAGCAATTTATGAAATAATCTAAGTTCTAACATAAGGACTACAATGGCTGCCTGATCAGGTGCTTATGTGCTCATCAGGCACATAATCTCATATTCTTTAATTATTAATACATTTTAAAGTTTTAAATAATTTCTATAAATGAAGAAGTCTGAAAAATATGTCAGCTTTGTCATTATAGCAGAAGTATCTTGGGGGCCTTCAAATATCGCCTTTGACAATGAGGGGCCTTGGAGTCAGAAAGGATGAGAACCACTGATGCAGGGCTTCCTGAATGTATTTTTCAACACAATGCTCATAAATTGTCCGAATTCCATGTTAATTTAATAATTCAAGCAGTTTTTCATAAGCATTTGACAAATTATAGATTTTCATCAGTGGAACTGTCAAAACAAAGAACTGTTTACATTAATAACTCAAAAAAAAAACAAAACATAAACATACAACACAAAATGTTGGTATTACCAAATCAGCCATCTAGAGTGATCTTTGCCAAACACAGTCAGACAGGCCTTGTCTATGGTGGGGAACGAAGGAATGAAGCCAGAAATAGCCCAAGCCCTTTAACCATGAATAGAGGCTTGTATAATTTATTCCAGCTGTAATCAGAGCACGGATTGCTGTCAGTGCAATCAGCTCATAATTAGGAGAATTCTCTGTTGTTCTGCTGTGTTTTCTGGGAGGCCCCGTGCTGCTGAGTGTCTGTCTGTGGGCTGATGTGTAGCAAACAGCCAATTTACTGAACCATTAAGATATCGGCACCTTTTGCTTTTCTCTCGTAACCTGTTGCCATGCCTGCTTCTCATCTCATATTATCTCTCCTTCTCTTCCTCTGTTCCCTCTGTTCTCTCTCTCTCTCTCTCTCTCTCTCTCCGTCTGTGACTTCCTCCCCCGCAAGTCCTGTGGTGAACAGGTGCAAAAATGATCTCTCATTCACAAAGGGCAAAAATACTTTGCGTATGGTGTCTTTGTCACATGTCAGAAAGGGAGCCAAAGCCGGGTCATTTCCATGCATTTGCAGTTGTCAATAGAAGAGAGAGGAGGAATTGATAGATTGGGCAACTTGTCACTTTTCTCCTTTCTCTGCCTCTGATTTTCTAATAAGAATACATATTTGGTATTATAGGGTTAGGGGGTTTGCAAAATGACTAAACTTATCCTGCAATGTCTGTGCGAACATGAGCGATGCCAGATAATGTGACTTGAGGATGAGGGGTGTTTTATTACTTCTAAAAAATCAGATATGTGATTTTCGCTGACTGAATGGTAAAACTGAAAAAAAGAAAAAAAAAAAATCCCATAGATTTGAATCAAATAAACAACTCAAGCCATTTCTAAGGACCAGAATATTATAGAGACTTGGAAGATTGCCTCTTCTGACTTCAAGTCCTCTTGGGAAGTTAATATTTATGAGTTGAGAAATCAAAATGATTTAATCAAGTGCGTTCAGATCACTTTGGTCAGAGTAAAATGGTGATGTACTTTAAATAATGCCTTGTGAGTGTACAACAGCACTAATTAATAAGGCCAAACATGGTACCGTTGATTTATATTTATTCTTTATTTATTTTTTAAAATGTAATTTCTTGTTTATTTTATTATTATTATTAGTTTTTATTTTTATCAGATTGTTAAATTATTGGTAATATGTCTGATATTTGAAAGACAATAAAAAGTTGATCACAAAAATGAAATGCAGTAAAATTTCTACAAATTGAAGAATAAAGAATGCTTGTTTTAATTATATTAATGATATGATTATATATTCTACCATACTGTAAAAAGTATGATTAATTATAGTTATATTTTGTGCAACTTAGCTAGTTTTATTATAAATGAAAAAATTATTTGATTAATTTCAGTGAATTTACTATCAATATAGATGCTGCATCCATTGTGTCCACCATGTTTTCTCACCAACCCGGAAACTCAGAGCTCAAAGAAAATCTTGAGGCTTGAGATTTTGTGGTGGCATTCAACTCATATAAATGATATTTCTGACATGACTTGAATCCACCATAAGCAAACCACCTAATAACCATATACAAATATAATAAATACCACTCAGAACACCTTAATAACCATACAGCAACACCATCGCAACCACCCAACAACAATTTTCTTCTAAAAATGTAAGATTCTAGTATGATATGAGTTGCAGCCTGGAACACTGATATTATGGTCAAGATGTATCTTGGTAGACATTAGGAGAAAAGGAGTTTGAAAGGGACAAAAAAAAATTCAAATTCAGAGCTGATCATCTCAGGTTTGAAGGTCATTTCAGAGGTAGACTTCTATTATAGAAGATTTAGGTTCAGAAGAAGGGGACAAAAAAACATCTGCCGATGTGACTGGGTGGTCTAAACAGTCTTGTATCACATGTCTACAGTAGAACTAAAAGGGTCATTCTCTGTCTCTCTTCGGTGTGAATGCTTAATTTAACACTCAGGAGGGGACTGTACCACTCTGACATCAGTGCCCCACTGTGACATTTCTTGCTCTGCAAGTAATGACAGGGCATGGAGGAAGAGCGAGGGGGCTAAAAGCGAGAGGGAGAGAAAGAAAGAACGACAGACAGAAAGACAGAAAGACAGTCTGTACAAACAGTCCAAATCTATCCCCCTGGCCCCCGCACTAAAACTTTGTTCTCTTGATGGGAACAGACAGTGGGGTCCAAATGTCTGAGACCACATTAAAAATCTGGATTTCTTTTCATTTTTATTTAAACCTCACTGAAGGAAAAAAGGGTGTAGGATTTACTTTGAAACAGTTTTCACTCAGAAATTGCAAGTTAATTTCACAAACACATTGAATTAAAGACTGAAATAGTATTTTCTTGGATAATGTAATGTACTCCAATTTTTTACAGTGCTGGAAATAAAGTATGTTCTATTTAAAAAAAAAATGCGAACAATGAAGAAATATTTCTGCATTTAATGTTCAACATCACGATGTAAAATGGACAAGAAATATTTAAGATATTAAAGATTTGAATAATAATAATAATAATAAAAATAAGTACATTTAATAATAATAATGTTTAATAAAAAGTAAATAAAAATTATAAAAAAATGTAAGGATAATTATAAATTATATATTATTGTTTAATTGTTTAAATTAAATGATTATTGATTTAAATAAATAAATATTTAATTTAATTTAAATTATGTATTAAATATCGCACAATATAAGCATTGTTACTAGTGTCAGACCCCACTGTATAATATTGGATTTGATCGGCTTTAGGTGCCTCAATACCTATTTGGAAGGTGCCTACAATTCAGAGACTCCACTGCATTAATTTTCTTAAGAGATTGACCAGAACTCCTCATTGTGAATTGGCCATTCAACACACACATGGGGCATTTAACTCTGCAGTGCCACTTACTGTGAAGCTCAAAACGATGGCTCCTAGGGCACCTCTCTCACAGGTTGAATTCACAGGAGACCTTATTACTTTGAGTCTCTTTACACGCAGTTTGGCTGACATGGCATGGAATAGAGTGTGGATTGCTATAGTCACCGCGGTGTTCAGCTGCCCAATTATGTCAATAGCCGGGATTTGAAACGGAATATGATAATGCCCTGGAAAGTTGCTAACTCCCCTGTTTTGAACTTATTAGCTGTGGCGTGAAGTGCTGTTCAGTAATTTATCGCCTCTTAGAGTAATAAATGGGGAAACTGAGCTCTGTTTCTCTTATTGATTCACGGTGAGTGTTGACTTGCCGGTCTGGAAGAGTGTTCTTGCTCTCAGCACTTATTTGTCAGCCGTTTCTTGCTTCTGAGAGTGTTGACCAAATCTGTTCTGCATGCACAATTATATTTATACAGCATAAGCTTTTAAAACAAAGTGCAAACTAGCTTGAATACAAAGCATGGAAGTGCAGACACCCTTATTAGTGTATAAAAGATGAGCACAGCCATTTTTCATTGTGTCAACAGCATTTGCTTTTGCACAGTCATTGTGCTATTGTGCTTAGTGTTGTTTTTGGATAGAATGGGGTCTGAAGGCCAGGCTCTTGAGGGTGGGCACATGTCTTGTCCTTTCTATAATTGACTCTGGAGCTACGTGTTTAGGTTTACAAAATCCAGCCATTGATTCAGGGCTGCAGACTGTTTCACGGTGTGCTTATTGCTTGAATTGCACCTTTGTGTAAGTGCTCACGTAAGGTGAAGGGAAGTGACATCACTGGTGATAAACAGTGTATTAGCAATCAGGCACCTGCGATATTGCTGATTTTGGTGAAAGAAGGAAGAAAGTGATTGAACAGGGAAAACAATGGAACTATCAATCAAACTGTGTGCAAAAATGCAGAACTGACTATTATATGGTAAATTCTGTGCAAATGTTATCTAGTGGCTCAATCCCATTTGGGGGCAGTAGAGATTTGCAGGTAAACTGGTGTAATGAAATGGCATAGATTTCCAATACCACAGACATATGAACAGGATACCTCAGTTCAGACCTTTTGTTTTATCAATATTTTGATATTTCTATGCTCTGCTTGACACAAAACATGGTCTGTAATCCAATATCCTTCTCTTGTACATTAATTTTTGTGTATATTTATTAATTTATTAAGTAAATAAATAATGTTGTCCTTAAAATTATCCAAACAGATCTTCAACTATAGTGTCAAAAATGTACTTTTTCATTAAGGATCAATATTTGCTCCTGGCTTTTTTGGGGCTTTTTTATGCTTCCAAAAAAAATGATTGAAATCTCAGTTTGAATCAGCTTCTAATACTGATGCAAAAAAATAAAGTGCAAAAAAAAATGCACAGAATATCATAAAACAAATACTCTGCTAAATACATTTTACATAATTATCTGGTCTATATATTTTATAGCACTGTTGAGTGTCATGGTAGGTTTTTATGTTATCGCTGTTTCAAGTTTTGGCAATTTTGGGCCTGCTGAGATTTGTTCTCTACTCATTTAGTATTTGCATAGCTAGTTTTAGTTTCTGACCCATCTGTGACCCATCAGTTGAGACTCAGTGATAAAATTCCACGTAGAATAGATAAAAAGTCAAAGGTAGGATTCACTGAACTTCCCTGTGGTTTTAGAATGTGATCTCAAGAGCTTGGTGTATTTAATTTATGATTACAATTTAGCTAAGGAACACTACTTCACCTCTTGATTTTTGACTTTTTGTCTTCCAGAATGTCCTCCTGGGTGAGGATCAGGTGGATGTTTGGCACAACCCGACCAATGAAGCAGGAGATTTTGAGCAGGTTAGCAACCATTAACACATTTAAACCTGATCTGAGATGTCTGAAGTCAGCATGTTCTGTGTTTTTTAATAGTTTTGTGTTCTTGCTACATTTGTCATTTCAATGTTAACTGTACTACTACTGTACAACTTAAGAGTATGACTGAAGCAAAAATGTAAGGACTTTGTGGCTTTGTACAACATAATTGTTTTAATGAAGATCTAAAAAGGCAAGAAGGTTAGGTTTTGGAGCAGGGGATGGAAAATATCATTAGCCAAGTATAAAAATGACAGAAATCACGACCGTGTTAGAAAAACAAACATACGTGTGTGTTTAAAGTGATTCTTCACACTCTAGTTGACACTGCCTTGTGTGGCTGTGTTGATATGTGGATTCAGCAGGTGTGTGAATCACAACCCCACATTAAATCTAAATTTACCTTTAATTTCCAAGATGATGAATGGAAGATTGAGTGTTTATTTATTTATGCAGCTTTATGGTGATTCAGGCTGCCTAACATACAGCTTGTTAATGCATTTGTATTCATAGGAACATAACTTTCACCTTAGAACGTGTATATATCACTTCCAAACCAAGTTTTTTCCTCTGCTCACAGTATCACAAATCAGTAAATCCGCCTATATGGGCCAATATTTCAAAAGGCTTTTATTAAAACAACCCGGCTGTGCCGTTATAGTAATATATTAAGATCCAGGCCCCATCGATCCTGTCTTTGTATTCCGGTTTGTTCTACAGAATCCAACTCGGCAAATCATTAAATTTTTAGTGTCTACTTATATCCAGCTGAATAATTTATCAGGCGGTGGGGCGAGTGATTCAGAAAACACTTGATTGTCTACATGCTGGGGGTCTGGGGAGGTATTGAACCAGGAAAGATGATTTAGAAAATGTATTGGATGGAACGGTGGCAGTATGGAGATGATTGAGCAGAAAGATGACAATGTTAATGACTGGAGAACTCTTTCTGATTCAACCTTGCTGCTGTAATAAAGTAGACATTAATTTTATTTTTTTGAAGTTGAATATGTATATATACTATGCATTTCTTTGATAAAAATATAGTAAAAACATGAATATTGAGAAATATTATTACAAATTAAAATTACTCTAGTCTTCAGTGTCACATGATCTTTCAGAAATCATTCTAATATGTTGATTTGGTATTCAAGAAACATTTCTTATTATTATCAGTGTTGAAAACAATTGTGGTGCTTATTATTATAGTGGAAACCATGATAATTTTTTTCAGGATTCTTTGATGAATAAAAGTTCAAAAGAACAGCATTAATTTGAAATAGGAATCTGTTGCATCAATGCAAATGTTTAAACTGTCACTTTAACTGTCAATTAATCAAAAAATGACACCAAACATTTGAACTTAAAAACCAAATAGATGCATGAATATTTTTCTTCTTTTGCAAAGTAGTTAGGAAGATTTTCTGTACTTATGGTAAAGAAATATTTATATATGTGACCCTGGACCACAAAACCAGTCATAAGAGTCAATTTTTTGAAATTGAGATTTATACATCATCTGAAAGCTGAATAAATAAACTTTCCATTGATGTATGGTTTGTTATGAAAGGACAATTGGCCGAGATACAACTATTTGAAAATCTGTAATCTGAGGGTGCCAAAAAAATCTAAATATTGAGAAAATCGCCTTTAAAGTTGTCCAAATGAAGTTCTTAGCAATGCATATTACTAATCAAAAATAAGGGTTTGATATATGTACAGTTGGAAATGTACAAAATATCTTCATGGAACATGATCTTTACTTAATATCCTAATGATTTTTGGCTTAAAAGAAAAATGTATAATTTTGACCCATACAATGTTGGCTATTGCTACAAATATACCCGTGCTACTTAAGACTGGTTTTGTGCTCTAGGGTCACATATGTGCTTTAACCTCATTACTATAGCCAATCCAATTATTAATCTGAAAACCACAAACCCCCCCCAAAACCCCCAAATTCTAGTCTGAATGCTACAGTTGAATGTTAAAGTTGTGTAGGCTGAATCTTACCTGTAAACTTTTGAAATTCAAGTGCTACATTTTGACCATATTAGTTCCTACTCTTATATGAAATTTCCATTTTTAACTTTAACAAAACAAGAACATTCAGTTCGGCTTATCAGAACCTCCCTCTAGATCCAATTAGCTCGGCCGTCCAGAGTGAACAGGCATCGTTTTCACTGACAAAACTGTTTTGACAAAAAAATGATTTGGAATAAATCGCTTTAAATATTCAGAGATTTAATGCAGAAGTTGAAAGAAGCGTGACGCCATCAGTGGTAATCAGCTGCATCCATTATGGCTGTAGTGAGAATGAGAGAGAAATTTAGCCTTACCTCCTCCTTCCTGCCGCCTCCTCCTCCCTCCTTCCTGCCTGCTCGTTTGATTGTTTTTACATTCCCGCATTATGTAAATATGCGCATTGTGATTCTTTGGGGAGCATCTGAGCATTAGTGAGGGCAATCTGGGCCTTTGCTAGAAATGCTAGATAACATATGTCCACTTGTCACGCAAACACAAACACACAAACAAATGGACATTAATAAACTCACGACCAGGCCCCATCTGCAATCGCGCACCATTTGCGGGGACCCCCAGGTGTCATTTACGAATGCCGAACTTACGGCTGTGAATAGACATTATTAATGGAGCCCAAAGTAGAGATACAAGGAGCTGCTTAGCCCTGAACCCTTAGCGAATATGAATAACAATGGGTGAGGGATCATTACCTCGGCCTGGAGGGAACACTTAATCAGGTTGTGTGTAATGAAGGCTGTTGGCGTAAATCGGGCACATGCATAATGTTCTGCTGACGTGTGCTCAGCATTGCATTAGCATCACTGCCACTGCCATGTTAGCAGCGGTGTAATTGAGTCAACGGAATATGAAGTCCAAAAGAACAGCCTTTAACAGTATTGTTCCATTTTTCCCCCACTGTCATCATGCGTAATTTTCACAAGTAGGTTAGATGAATTGAAATGCTTTTTAAATTCACAGGCATGAAATGACATTGATTTATCCACATTATGCTAATATCAGTCAAGATACCACCAATTCGTTTTTTTAATATCTAATAGCTTTTAGTTTGTCAAAACCATGCACCCTTGACAAGTACTGTGGACGAAAGCAATGAAGTCACTTTTGAAATGAATGAATTCTAGCCACTTCCTTTGCAGCAAATTGATGGCCTGGAAAAAGAAAATAAATTATGAGCATTAGTGCTTACTATTACATTAGTACTTACTATTGCAGAGGCAGGTGGTTATTATGGTTTAGGGGGAGGGACATTCTTGTTCTAGAGCAGTGGTTTTCAACCAGGGACCCAGGGCCCACATGTGGGCCTCAGCAAACAAGTGGGCCTCATGGTGACTAAAAACTATTTAATAAATGTGTTATTAGTGTTATTTTAGTGACATTGAGATATTATTGTAATTTTTATTAATATTTTTATTTTTTTTTAAATGTTTTCTGTCTTTATTTTAATTTTAAACACTTCTAAAAACTTTGGGTCAAATATAGAAATTTTTTATTTACATTTTAAACCCAACAATTGGGTTAGTCCATATTTGATCTAAAATTGGGTTGAAACAACCCAGCATTTTTAGAGTGAAGTTTTAGTATTTCTATTGTGTGTGTTTGTAATTTTTATTCATTTTTGTAAAATATAAACTATGTATTGTTTTAATTATTTTTTATTTTAGCTTTAATTATTTTAGTACATCAAGTTATACTAAATGAAAATGAGAAATGTTGCCTTGGCGGCTAGCTTTAAGTTTTGTATTAAAGGTTATTTATTATTAACTATAATGACCTTGTAAATCAATAGTCATTAAAAAAATTAATTGAAATGCTAAAAAAAATTAAAATATAAGCCTAAATTTAATTAAATTATTGAAATGTAATAATGATTTGACAGTATAGTGTTGTTTTTAATTTAAAGCTGAAGTCCGTAACTTTTTTTGGTTAAAAATGATCCGAAATCAATATTTGAGCAAGTACATAACCAGCCAGTGTTCGATTTGTATTTTAAAGACAACCAGTTCGAAGGGAGCATAATTTGCTTTTTGGGTTATGAGAATTTCTTAATATGAAATTCGAGGGGTATGACAATTAGAGATTAGACTGTACAGAAATTGAAATCTACTCGTTTATACACACTATACTCATAGTCACGCAATGCTGATGTTGTTTTAACATTAACAGTTTGAGAATAAAGTATAACAAAAATAATAATTTGCACGGTTTGATGTGATATGAGCTAATTTAGATTAAATTACCATTGGTAGCGCGATTTATTGTAATGCTTTTTTCCTCATCAGAACAACCGTGGCAGACTTGTTACTTACTTGTTCAGATGACAATATCCGGTGAAAATGCTTATTTGAGTCATATAT